TAAGTGTGCTATGTAGATATGAAAGTAATTGAGGTGATAATACCTACAATACTAATTCGTTTTTAGTGAGGTCTGTCTCTCACTTATTGACTAAAACAACTTCAAAGAGTCCTAGTCACACACTCATTTAAAAACCAACTTCCCAATTACATACACATGTATATGCACACACTTTTTTAAAGTTATTGAATCGTATTTAAGGCATTGGTCTGTTTGGTGACATTGGACATAGTTAGCATATTATGTCTTTCAATCTGTGAATATGGGACATTCCCACTTACAGGACTTATGGTTCTTTCTTTCGTTTCTTTCAATAGCATTTAATAGTTTATACACACAGAATTATATTACTTTTATTAGATTTATTTTCAGGATTTGTAGTTTTTGATCATACAAGATGCCTTGTAAATTTCTTTTACTATTTTTCGTTGTTTAGAGGAAATCCACTGATGTCATTTCTTCCTAACTTCATTAATTATAGATTTCAGGAAAATTTCTAATTATGTGATCCTGCTGAGCTAATAATATACATTATTATAGCTTTCTTTCCTCTTTCCTGTTAGATTTATTTCTTTCACGTGTCTAATTGCATTGAATAGCAATCCATCATAGTGTTGAATATATGTGGTAACAGCAGAAATTCTGTTGCTTTTTAATAAATTTTTATTGATTTCAGAGAAGAAGGGAGAGGGAGATGGAAACATCGATGATGAGAGGGAATCATTGATTTTGTGCCACTTGGGGATGGAGCCCACAACCCAGACATGTGTGCTGACAGGGACTGAACCTATGACCTCTTATTCCTAAAGCTCATGCTAAATGGCTGAGCCACACATGAAGGGTCAGTCCAATGTTTTTGAGCTTGCACATGGCAGAGGAGTAGCTATTCACTGCTTATTGCGGGGCTCATTGTTAACCATATCAGGGATTCAAGCATTTTTCATCCTCTTTAGTCAATGTTCGCCTGGGGCCTTTTTCTGGGGAATGACGAGGGGGAAGGATTCTCAGGTTCAGTCATCTGCTTCTCATATTCTTCTTTAGTTGTACACAGCAGATCCCTCTTCCTTATTTGAGCTTTTATGAGTTTTTTATTTCTCTGTGCTTGCATTTATCTTTTCCACTTACATATAATCTTCAGATTCTAGGGGATTTGCCTTACCTTTGAAGATTGGGTTTGGGGCAGGGGAATTGAGAAGTTACTATGGTACCTAGCAAAACTTAGTTATAATAACTTAGTTACTATATTTATTTATTTTGATATGTTTTTTTATTGATTTCAGAGAGAGGAAGGGCAAAAGGAGAGAGAGAGTAACATCAATGTAGACAGATAATGATTGATTGGCTGCCTCCTACAAGCCCCCGTCATGGTCAGCAAAATGCGGCTCCCAAGCCACATTCGGTACCTAGGACCCTTGAGTGTGGCTCTCCTAAGGCTTAGGAGTACCTAATTAAGTTAATAACAATGTACCTATGTATATAGTTTAACTTCAAAACAATTTGGCTCTCACAAGAAATTTCAATTGTTGTACTGTTGATATTTGGCTCTGTTGACTAATGAGATAGCTGACCACTGGCTAGCCTGAAACTCTGGCATATGCCCTAACCAAGATTCAAACCAAGTCCATCTGGTTCATGGCTAGAGTCTCAACCATTCAACTACACCTGCCAGGCTAGTTCCTCTATTTATTATTTGAAGAAAGGCGTGCTCCTGGAGACTGGCTGTGGGCAGTGGTCCAGAAAGCCCACGTGTAAACAAGCGGAGGCTCCTGGGGTTAGATGTGTCTAACTCTCTATCCCTCTCCTGTTCTCTCTGTATAAAATCCATACAAACATATTATTTAACAAATTACAAACATCCCCGAGGCAGTACTGGCTGACAGACTCATTGGGTGAAGTTCTAGTTCCAGCCTGAGCAGAGGCCTGAGCCGTGTGTAGCTGTGTCAGAGCTGCCGAGTAAGAGAAGCTGCTGGGCTCAGTTGTGGCTGCAGCATGTCCAGTGGGAACCAGGGTCCAGTGGGAACCAGGGTCTTAGGAATCTGCAGAACGAGTCATCTGGAAACTAATACACACTTCCAAAGCCATCCACAGGAATGTGAGCTCTCCTTTGGTAGTGGGCTCCAAGCCATTAAGAGACTAACAGTTCTATCTATCTATCTAACAGTTCTATCTATCTATCTATGTATCTATCTATCTATCTCCTGCTGTAATTTAGTTTAGAACACCTGAGAATGTTCTCCTTATCAAGGCACACCATGGCAGGGGAGGGATCCTGAAGGTGATATCGAAACCAGCCGTGTCCATGGCACTAGGAGTGGACTGAGAATGCCTGAGAGGTACCACAGCATTCTAGGGCAGCTGCCCAACGGGGAGGTCCATTTGGCTAGCAACTGGGAGTCCTGCTTGTCATAGTAGTAGAAACATCTGGCAGGTTAAGAAATGCATCTTTTCTAGGAGATAAAGCATCCTGACTGTGGACAGGGCCAGCCCAGATTGCTACTGGGCTGGGAGGTGCTATGTTCCCAGGGTTGAAGGTCAGATACAGCCATACTTGGCTAAATCTTCATCAGTGATAGGCTCAAAGATGGAAGACCGCCCATTGGCAGGGAATGTGTCCCAGGACTCCAGAGAGGCAGCTGCCTCTAGCTTTAGCTCCAGGGATTCACAGTCAGGGGTCCAGGGAATTTTGGCAACTGTGGCGGGGGCCTGGACCACGGAGGCATAAGAGTGGTCCATCCTTACAAGCTCAGAGAGGCTCGCAGGGGCCCCGTGGTTTCCAGCAGGGTCTGTGGGGAAGGACCTCAGAGTCCCAGTGACACAGCGAGGAGTTAGTGGGACTTTGTCAGGGAAATTGACTGGAATATTGTCCAGAGATAGCAGGCACGGGCCAGGGTGCATCGGTGCATCAGGATCCAATGGGGGCCCCAAGGGTTGAAGGTCAGGGGCACAACAGCACCCAGAAGCCCACACAGGATGCTGGCCACCAGGGCTCAGCGGGGCCGGGCTGTCCATGGAGGGTTTGTCCTCAGGCCCAGGCTGGGCTTTGGGATCCGGAGCTGTGCGCACTGCGCCCACTAGGCGGCGCCTCTTAGCCGGGGCTGGAACCATCCACTCTTGAGTCCCCTGTTCCGGAGGACGACGACCACTCTCACGACCACGTGTGCCAGTTGGCTGGAGATCCTGGGCAGATGGGCCCGAGGTTGGCTGTGAGGATGGGTCGGGCTTTGAGGAGCAGAGGGCCGCGGCAGCCACAGGCTGGGCAGCAGAGGCAGAACCCTGGCCTAGCGAGGGGCACAGGCATGGCTGGCGCACAAGGGTGTGGCGGTGACCATAGCCACAGCCCGTGCCCACTGATCCAGGGGTGTGCGTGGCCCAACGGGGCTGCGGGTGCCTCAGGCCCAGCGCAGATTTCCAGGCCGCCCGGCCCTCCCTCCAGATATTCAGCTCCTGGCTGCCCGGCGCCGTGGGCTCCAAGTGGTCCACAACAGCCTGGTCCTGCCCGCGTTTCCACAGCTCATAGCGCTCGGGCTGCAGGAGGCGCACGAACACGTCCATGGAAAAGCTCACCCGGGCCTCCCCGCAGCTGCACTGAGAGGCCACTTTGCCATAGTCGACCCATCGCGGGGTGGCAAAGTTGATGGCCTCCGCACAGTTGAAGCCATGGTTGAAGCCAGCGTGGTAGCCATAGGGAAAGGTCACCATGAACTCTCCAGCCTCCTGAGTGATGCGGCTGAACGGGACCCCGTTCTCCTTGAGGACAGTGGGCGAGATGAGGGCCACCTTGTGCCGCAGGAAGGCCTCGCAGCCCCGAGAGCTGCCCGGGAAAAGCTCCCTGGCCAGGCGCTCCAGGCGCTGGCCGTGCCCTGGGGGCAC